AGTATGAACAATGAAACTTTAATTAACTTTGAAAACAAATTATGAACAAAAGAATTCCTTGGCTATGTACAGTGCAAACAAACAAGTAAAAAAATATAACAAAAATTAAGAACAGGAATGACGTTACTCTATAATATAAAGACAGGAAAGTGATTAAACAGGTGCTGAGAATAAAGCGCTAGCTGAGAAACATCCACCTGATAGACAGAGCGTATATCAGTTAGTTGTTCACAGTTTGAGAGCACAAGATATTCTAACTTCAATGACTGGTTCAAGCCCAGACATCGACTAAGTAGAGGGCGCTGAGGTGCAGGTGTGCAGTCGGCGGGTCACCAATCAGAAGCAGGCAGGCTGGGAATGGTAGTTTGCTGGTTGATGACGGAGCCGGCATTAGGGAGTGTGGAGTAGGGGGGAGTTTTGGGTACGTTTGCCTCCTGGTCAAAACGTTTTGTGCTACTGGTAGACGTATCTTGAAGGTAGCATCTTATTGTTGTATATATATAAGTAACTTTATGTAGAGAAGAGCATATATATATATATATATATATATATGTTAGTATATTTTGGTAGCAGTCTTTCCTGTAGACATATATTATTAAATATGACCGAAAAAGTAAGATTAATAATTCTAACACGAATTTTCTCAATCTTTCGTACATTTCTTTTCACTGTTGGTGGTAATTCAAAAATCAGTTCTCCAAAATTCATTTTTATTTCTAGTCTGACGCGACACTTGAGCGCGTTTCGTAAAACTTATTACATTTTCAAAGACTTTAGTTAACACATACACAACTGAATAGAACATACACATCTCCGATTTTGTTTATATCTACATTTGAGTGAGGTGGATGGGGTGAGGTGGTATTTAATAAGGTATAAATTTCATCAACACAAGCCAGAACATGAAACAATGGGTATTGAATAGAAGTGATTGTAGAAAGCCTATTGGTCCATATTTCTTGATGCTTCTATATTGGAGCGGAGTCTTGAGGTGGGTAGAATATAGTTGTGCATTAATTGGCTGTTGATTGCTGGTGTTGACTTCTTGATGTGTAATGCCTCGCAAACGTCAAGCCGCCTGCTATCGCTGTATCTATCGATGATTTCTGTGTTGTTTACTAGGATTTCTCTCGCGATGGTTTGGTTGTGGGAAGAGATTATATGTTCCTTAATGGAGCCCTGTTGCTTATGCATCGTTAAACGCCTAGAAAGAGATGTTGTTGTCTTGCCTATATACTGGTTTTTTTGGAGCTTACAGTCCCCAAGAGGGCATTTGAAGGCATAGACGACGTTAGTCTCTTTTAAAGCGTTCTGTTTTGTGTCTGGAGAGTTTCTCATGAGTAGGCTGGCCGTTTTTCTGGTTTTATAGTAAATCGTCAGTTGTATCCTCTGATTTTTGTCTGTAGGGATCCCTACAGACGTTATCCCTACAGACAAAAATCAGAGGATACAACTGACGATTTACTATAAAACCAGAAAAACGGCCAGCCTACTCATGAGAAACTCTCCAGACACAAAACAGAACGCTTTAAAAGAGACTAACGTCGTCTATGCCTTCAAATGCCCTCTTGGGGACTGTAAGCTCCAAAAAACCCAGTATATAGGCAAGACAACAACATCTCTTTCTAGGCGTTTAACGATGCATAAGCAACAGGGCTCCATTAAGGAACATATAATCTCTTCCCACAACCAAACCATCGCCAGAGAAATCATAGTAAACAACACAGAAATCATCGATAGATAGAGCGATAGCAGGCGGCTTGACGTTTGCGAGGCATTACACATCAAGAAGTCAACACCAGCAATCAACAGCCAATTAATGCACAACTATATTCTACCCACCTCAAGACTCCGCTCCAATATAGAAGCATCAAGAAATATGGACCAATAGGCTTTCTACAATCACTTCAATTCAATACCCATTGTTTCATGTTCTGGCTTGTGTTGATGAAATTAATACCTTATTAAATACCACCTCACCCCATCCACCTCACTCAAATGTAGATATAAACAAAATCGGAGATGTGTAAGTTCTTTTCAGTTGTGTATGTGTTAACTAAAAGTCTTTGAAAATGTAATAAGTTTTACGAAACGCGCTCAAGTGTCGCGTCAGACTAGAAATAAAAATGAATTTTGGAGAATTGATTTTTGAATTACCACCAACAGTGAAAAGAAATGTACGAAAGATTGAGAAAATTCGTGTTAGAATTATTAATCTTACTTTTTCGGTAATATTTAATAATATATATATATATATGTATATATATATATATATATATATTAGTTGAAAAACAATTAATTCATGAAAACTTGGCTTATTAGGCAAATCGGGCCTTGCATAGTAGGCCGAGTACGACGTTCTGGCTACTAGGTACGACATTATATATATATATATATATATATATATATATATATATATATATATATATATATATATATATATATATATATATATATATGTCGTACCAAATAGCCAGAACGCACTTCTCAGCCTACTATGCAAGGCCTGATTTGCCTAATAAGCCAAGTTTTCATGAATTAAGTGTTTTTCGACTTCCTAACCTAACCTAACCTAACTTTTTCGGCTACCTAACCTAACCTAACCTATAAAGATAGGTTAGGTTAGGTTAGGTTAGGTTAGGTTGGGTTGGTTAGGTTCGGTCACATATCTACGTTAATTTTAACTCCAATAAAAATTTTTACCTCATACGTAATGAAATGGGTAGCTTTATCATTTGATAAGAAAAATATTAGAGAAAATATATTAATTCAGGAAAGTTTGGCTTATTAGGCAAATCGGGCCTTGCATAGTAGGCCGAGAAGCGCATTCTGGCTACTAGGTACGACATTATATATATATATATATATATATATATATATATATATATATATATATATATATATATATATATATATATATATATGTCGTACCTAATAGCCAGAACGCACTTCTCAGCCTACTATTCAAGGCCCGATTTGCCTAATAAGCCAAGATTTCATGAATTAATGTTTTTTCGTCTACCTAACCTACCTAACCTAACCTAACCTAGCTTTTTTTGGCAACCTAACCTAACCTTACCTATAAATATAGGTTAGGTTAGGTTAGGTAGGGTTGGTTAGGTTCGGTCATATATCTACGTTAATTTTAACTCCAATAAAAAAAAATTGACCTCATACATAGAGAAAAGGGATGCTTTATCATTTCATAAGAAAAAAATTATAGTAAATATATTATTTCATGAAAACTTGGCTTATTAGGCAAATCGCGCCTTGAATAGTAGGCTGAGAAGTGAGTTCTGGCTACTAGGTACGACATATATATATATATATATATATATGTATATACATATATATATATGTATATACATATATAGTTTGTGAGGGTACCACCTCTGGTGCCAATGTGGGGACCCATAGCCTCGGAGAAGAAAATAAAAAGTATTCAGAGGAGCCCTTGTGGTCTCTCACTGAACACTAATATTATCTTCTCCTACCACCCCCATTCTTTTGTATGTACATATATATATTTACTTTATTTGAACTTTGTTACAAAAAAGGAGTTACATATGGGTTACAAAGATGGTTGTCATAGGTTGTCGAGTTCCTCCAGCTCCTCAGATGGCGGGCAGGAACCCTGGATGCAGTGCGCATTTCCCCTCTGTATCGCCACACTGAGGCGCTGGAAAAGAAAGCTTGCAGCTCTCGGGTCCCTTGTTGTTTCAATGAGCCTAGAACCCAGTTCCTTCAAAAAACTGGTAGCACTTTTACCCCAGGCGCCGAGCGTCTCAGAAGCAATGGGGACAAAATTGTAGTGGTGATCCAGTTCTCTATACTTACGGGATTTGGCTGCTTCCCTGTGGGTGGCAGCGCCACCTGGTTGTGCAACACTGAGGTTAATGTACATATATAATGTAATGTACACATATAATGTACACATATAATGTACATATATATATATATATATATATATATATATATATATATATATATATATATATATATATATATATATATATATATATATATATATATATATATAGATATGTACTATACTAGACTACCAGTACTATACACGGGAATGTTGTCGCACCTGTTAATCAAAATTTTACTTTTACTTTCATGGGTATTAAGTTTAGGAATATACAATCTGTCATTGACCAGTGATGTGAGAAGTTGATATTAATGAATAGTGAGTGATGTGAGAAGTGGGCGTTATACACATTATGTAGTGTGAGACGTGGCTTATTGAAGTGTGTAATGTGATAGAAATGGGTGGTATTGAACAGTGTGTGATGTGAGAAGTGGATGTAATGAAGAGTGTGTAATGAGAAAAGTGGATGTTATTCTCAAGTATGATGCGAGAAGTGCATAATATTGAACAGTGTGTAATGTGAATTAGTGTGTGTGGCTGCGAAATCTTGAACACTAGGACTTGATCAACTGAGTCATGAGGAGATGCTACACGCCTGGATCTTGATACACTGATGTCTGGTTGCTTCTTAGAGATATAGTTCTTAATAGAACGCCTTTCTTCAGCGAAGTCACCCTGCAAGGCTACTGAGACTAACTCCGAGCGTTTGGCCTCCACTCTGCAAGACTATTGAGCTTAGGTCCGAGCGTTTCGTCTCAACCCTGCAAGGCTATTGAGCCTAGCTCTGAGCGTCTGGCTTTCAATCTTGCACAGATATTTGCTTTTATATTTATACTAGGAGAACGGGTACCGGCGTTGACCGGACCTCTCTATCTCCAACCAGTCCATTTATCTATCCATCCATCCATTAGCCACTAACACTGACTTCAGGTTAGCCTAAAGCTAACTAAACATTTAAGACATAGATTGAAATTTTGTAGTAATTTATAAGAAACAAAAAGTACACCTAAACTAATACAATGTAGGCAGCTTCATACTATATTGATTGAGACATTACGGTCATCTGGTATTTGTGTAATTATTTTAAAATCTGATTTTTTTTTTTTTTAAATTTTCTTTCAACCCTCAGGTGGGAACTCTTCACTTGGTTCCACCAGTGCTTAACTTCTTGAACCAGTCTCCGACAGTTACCCCTGAAGCACTGGCGTCACTGCACACCACTTTATGTGGCGCTGCCCCTGTTCTTGTCACCGACGTACAAGCATTCAAGGAGAGAATTAAAAAAACTTTATTCTTCCAAGAAGGTAAACAAAATTTATAAACTTTAAAAATATTGAAAGGGAATTAAATTTATTTAAATGTATTGAGCACATCAAGATGGTAATAACAGTTTTAAGAGCGAAGGTTAATTGCTTTCCATAAGTTCCCCTAATATTCCCGTCTCACATACAATGGTTGGTCACACATAAAATACAAAATTGGCATGGAAAGTGAATGAAAATTAATAATTTAAAAATGATTAGTAATTTATTGTGTCAGGGGACAGCCAGCTAGATAATATATACATGTTAGGCTTAAATTGAGGTCCCCCTTAATGTCGAATTACTGACCCTTTCACCCCAGGATGCGACCCTACGACAAGCTCATTAACTCTTGGGAACAAATTTACTGCTAAGTGAACAGGTCCATTTGGTGATAGGAAATACACGCAACATGTTTTGTCCTGTCAGAGATTCGAACCCAAGCCCCGAATCCTGAAATCCCGATCTTTAATTTAAATTTTGCCCCAAGGGGCGAGTTTATGGGCAAAGTAATTTATCCTGTGAGTGGCCATATCGCCATATCATGATGTACAACATTCCCCGATAGGAAGAAAACCTGCTGAGTTGTTCATCCTGTCACTTGTACTCAGACACAGCTGGGACTTGCTTAACTGTCTCAAGTGAGCAGCTTCTCAAACAAAAAGATTAACATTCGTCAACCCTTAAAATCGTACTTTATCTTGCGGGTGCAAAATGGGGGGATCTTTTAAAAACAGTGTCTATATTTAACATATAGTGTTTTCATAACTCAAACATTGTGGGGTTTATTATTCTTCACATATTTCTAATGACTCTTATATATCCACACTCTCTCAGGTAGTGGACAATGCGGTGTCTATCACTCTCACAGCAGATTCTGTAACTCCTCTGTTCAACTGTTGTTTCCATTCCGAATCTCCAAGGATATTTGTATCCAAGAAGGATTCTTGCTATAACTGATTCTCTCCCGCGGCCACCTCCTATTAGTCTTTAATGATTGGGATTGCCAGCTGCAACCCATGTTATACCAGTGTACAGATTCGCAGATTTGTTCTTCTGTCCTCCTTTCCTCAGTAACCTTGTCACGGTGATACTGCCTGATGGTACCTCTAATTTGTAACGGAGTCTTGGGTATGAAGTACTCAATGTGATCTTCTTCAGCAGCCAGCACATCTGCTAGTTCATTTCCACAGATTCCAATATGGGAGGGGATCCACAGAAATTTGACGACTCTTCCTTGATTGGTTAGTACTATTATGACCCCAAGTAGCCTGAAGAACGAGTCTACCTATCTGAGAGTTATTCCACATACGAGATCTAATTTAGAGGCCAGAGAAAAGATATATATATATATATATATATATATATATATATATATATATATATATATATATATATATATATATATATATATATAAAATGAATAGGAAAACCAGGGATATACTGAACATCTTGTTTCAGATTCTTTACTTTAAAATGCATAACGTTTCGAATACTTCTCGTATTCATCATCAGATCTAAAGGAAAAAACAGAAATCACAATCAAATAACTAGTAAACAAAGAACTCATACTGAATATAATTGCCTATCAAAGAAAGGAAAATGCTTAAAAAACAAAACACTTAAGCGCACTTAAAGTGATCAATACAAATAAAACTTATTAACTGTCACATATATAAAAGCTAATTCAAAAATCCATTAGACTACAAGACGAAATTTAAAACTACTAAAACAAACCATTCTATTAAACTTACGTGAAGTGATCAGAAGTGAAACTCGATACCTAACACATAGATACTAAACACTATAACAAATATTCATATAATGACTACAAATCTTCAAAAAATGTATATAAAATACAAACAGAATAAACGACAATTATAAAGTACTAACCAAAATCTTATAAAAACTCAAATATTAAATAAAATTAAATACCAAAAAATGTATTATATATCCTAAATAAAAAATTATAATAATGTACAATGTCAAGACTTGAAATAAGTAAGAAAGGGCAAAGGCATGATAAACTAAACAAAATTATAATAAAATTAACCTACCAGAATGAACTATAAATCAATTTACAGGGCCTACTGTGCACTATACAGTGTACAATTGAACAGCTGAAAGGTTGCTATTTAACAGAGGCCGCAGCTCCTTTATATATAAGGATTCCATTACTCTCAAATCTGTCTGGTTATTCATACAAGTATCCAGAATTTTAAAATCAGATTCCAGCAGAGAATGATTAAACTCATAACAATGGTTTCTAATCTCCGAAAATGCTGGTTTAGACAATGGTAATCCAGTCCTAAAAGATAATCCCCGGTGCTCAAGTATCCTAATCTTAAAATTCCGAATGGAACTCCCGATATATCCAGCATTACAGCTGGAACAATTATACATATATACGACATTTGAGCACAAGGGGGTAGGCACTTCATCTTTAAATTTAAAATAAGAGCCTATGGTATTTGTGTTGACAAAAATATATACTGAATAGGGCCTTTGTTTTATGTTCAAATTGGAAAAACTTTGATAAAGAAATTAATTTTCTTGTGAATTTTTTTTCAAATAATGATTATCCTTTGCATATGGTTTATACCTTTATAAGGAATTTCTTAAATAAGAAGTTTCACCCATCGTGTAGGATTACTACAGTAGAAAGGGATCTTAAATATATTAAATTACCATTTTATAACACTTAGTTTTTTTGTAAGGAGTCGTTTGAGGAGACTGTTGCAGCATTGTTATCCTCAAGTAGACTTTAGATTTATTTTTGTCAACACAAATACCATAGGCTCTTATTTTAAATTTAAAGATAAAGTGCCTACCCCCTTGTGCTCAAATGTCGTATATATGTATAATTGTTCCAGCTGTAATGCTGGATATATCGGGAGTTCCATTCGGAACTTTAAGATTAGGATACTTGAGCACCGGGGATTATCTTTTAGGACTGGATTACCATTGTCTAAACCAGCATTTTCGGAGATTAGAAACCATTGTTATGAGTTTAATCATTTTCTGCTGGAATCTGATTTTAAAATTCTGGACACTTGTATGAATGGCCAGTCAGATTTGAGAGTAATGGAATCCTTATATATAAAGGAGCTGCGGCCTCTGTTAAATAGCAACCTTTCAGCTGTTCAATTGTACACTGTATAGTGCACAGTAGGCCCTGTAAATTAATTTATAGTTCATTCTAGTAGTTTAATTTTATTATAATTTTGTTTAGTTTATCATGCCTTTGCCCTTTCTTACTTATTTCAAGTCTTGACATTGTACATTATTATAATACAATACAATACAATACAATACAATACAATTTTATTTAGGTTAGGTATAATCTTTTATTTAGGATATATAATACATTTTTTGGTATTTAATTTTATTGAATATTTGAGTTTTTATAAGATTTTGGTTAGTACTTTATAATTGTCGTTTATTCTGTTTGTATTTTATATCCATTTTTTTGTAGATTTGTAGTCATTATATGAATATTTGTTATAGTGTTTAGTATCTATGTGTTGGGTATCGAGTTTTACTTCTAATCACTTCACGTAAGTTTAATAGAATGGTTTGTTTTAGTACTTATAAATTTCGTCTTGTAGTCTAATGGATTTTTAAATTAGCTTTTGTATAAGTGACAGTTAATAAGTTTTATTTGTATTGATCACTTTAAGTGCGCTTAAGTGTTTTGTTTTTTAAGCATTTTCCTTTCTTTGATAGGCAATTATATTCAGTATGAGTCCTTTGTTTACTAGTTATTTGATTGTGATTTCTGTTTTTTCTTTTAGATCTGATGATGAATACGAGAAATATTCGAAACGTTATGCATTTTAAAGTAAAGAATCTGAAACAAGATGTTCAGTATATCCCTGGTTTTCCTATTTATCTTAAATTAAGATTCCCGAAGGGAACATCGATCATAAATATTATATATATATATATATATATATATATATATATATATATATATATATATATATATATATATATATATATATATATATATATATATATATATATATATATATCCAGGGAGGTAATCACTCTACAGGCATGAGCTCATGGGCTTGCTCAAGCCTGTGAAGTTCTTCGAGGTATCAGACTGATATGTGATGCCATTTTTTGCTTCTCCTGTTTCCCCCTGAAAGTAGTCCAGAATCTTAATTGCAAGATTAAGTAGTTCCTGAATTCGGCTTTTACCACTGGGGAGGGACAACTCCTCCCGTAGATTTGATGTTTTGGCAGTTCGTGGGACTCCAAGAATGATTGTCATGGTTTCATTTTGTATGCTTTCAAGTTTTTTCCATATCGCTTTGGAAATAAGTGCAAAACCTGGTGCGGCATAGTCTATGATGGAGCGCATAGGCTGTGTACATCATTTTAAGGACAGCAATAGAGGCTCCATGTCCATTCCAGGTCATTGCTTTCAGTGCCCTGAGTCGACTTTTACGTGTTCCTGTGAGTTGGTTAAGCTCCTCTTTCTTCCCCTTTCTTCCCCGATTGTGATGTAACACCAGATTACTACCTGACCTATACTCCAGTTTAACACAGCATACAAAGTCCACCTTGACCCACAAATGTACTGCCGCTATGTCAACTGACATACTAAAGAAGAAACCCAGTCTGTTGCTCTCCTTAATGATAATTAAAATTTACACTTTCCCCTGCCTCTGCCACCACCCCCTGTAACCAATGTGACTGCATTACTGATATCCCAGGGAAGGACAGAAACGAATAATTACTCTCGAAGGACGTAGGAATCTTGGAAATTATTACTTCGGATAATTTATAACAACTCTTCAGTTTACTTACTGAGAATCAGGGGACATCTTTAATTCAGAATGGAAACGGAGAACCACAGGGGAAACTTCCAAACCATTGCATGTAATGAGAGTTCATTGACTAAGAATTATTTAGAGGGGAATTTATATTAAAAAAATATGTGTGTATATATATCTAAATTTATTTAAAAATTTCATTACACAAAAAGGGTTACA